TAATAAAAAAATTAAAAATTTTCAATTTTTTTCAAAATTGCTTTTGAAACGTAGAAACAAACAGGCTCAGTGTGTGGTTAGAGGTATCAGGTGATGTATTGTTGCATGGGGGGTTTTTTGAATAGAGGATTTTCTGGCGGGGCTTGGAGGTAGGGGTGAGTAAAAAAACCGATTAAACCGAGAAAATTGGAAAAAAAATAACTGAAAAAACCAAACCGAAAAAAAAACCAATTAAACTGATTAAAATTTTGAAAAAACCAGCCGGTTTGGTTCGGTTTTATAACCAAAAAACCAAACTGAACCGAACCGAAACTGAAAAAACCGTTCCAAAACTGAGCCAAACCGGAAAAACCGAGCTAAAATCGAGTCAAAACCGAGAAAAACCGATCCAAACCGGAAAAACCGAGCCAAACCGATTTGAACCGGTTTTCCCCTAAAAACCCGAACCGAAACCGGTCGGTTTGACCTGATTTTAGGTTTTTTTTAAAATTTCTTTTTAATAAAAACTAAACTGAACCGAAAATAATCACCCTTTGAGTTACTTTGAGGAGGAGTTTGGCGGGACGAGAGTCCGGTTGCAAAACCCTATAATTTGAGGAGGAAGAGGGCGGGCTAGGGTTTAGGGCCTTTGGAGGTTTGGGGTTAAAGGCTGGTTGCTGAAGGCCTAAATTTAGCGAGAACTGATGGGCAATTGTAGGCCTGCACGAGACCGTAATTTAAGTTGCTTTCGGTTAAGCCCAGTTCTGTTGTTCTTTCCTCCTCTTCTTTTCTTTCCTTGTTTTATTTTCTTATGTCTCCGGAAAATATTGTGAAAATAGATTTTAATGGAGACAATTGTTTTTATTGATTATTCTTCACGTGTATTGTAAAATAACCTTGCATTATTTCTATGTATTCTAATGGATTTTTTTGGGAAAAAAAATGTAAATGAATAAACTTGAATGTGTTAAATTAAAATGTTTGATCTTTGAAATCTATATAATTCTATATAAGATTTAATGATTTGTAATAAAGAAACAGTTTGTTGAATGTTCAAAACAAAAAAAAAAAAGAGTAAATTTAGAAAAAAAAAGAGTAAATTTTAACTATGTTAAAGTAAAGAACAATTAGAAATTTGTTGTCCAAAATCCACAAAATATATAAACAAACAATTTAAAATATAAAATAACTAATATTAAGATCGTTGAGAGGAACAAGGCTTCGTCTCACTAGAAGCAATCGATACATTATCCTACCATTTTATATATTAATATAATCAACATTTTGGCAGGACGGCTGGAATCGCGGTGTAAATAAGTTTCCACAAAATTTTCTCCGGCTTTGATTCCGAGGTTTGTGCCTCCTGCGCAGGAGATGATGTCGCGCAACCTCGCATAAAGGACTGCGGAGTTTCTTTAATCAGTAAAAACAGAAGATTTTACAAAGCAAATCGAGCACCCATTGTGTTAGCTGTGACCAGCAACACAAGAATCCTGCAAATGGATTTCCATTCTTTTTGTTTTTATATTTTAAAAGTATTTAATTTTTTTTTTACCTTGAGCTAAACACAAGAATCCTGCAAATGGATTTCCATTATTTTTGTTTTTATATTTTAAAGGTACTTAATTTTTTTTTACTTTAAGCTAATATTTTTTTAATGTTTTTTAATTATTTTAATATACTAATATTAAAAATAATTTTTTAAAAATATATATATATTTTTAATATATTTTTAAATAAAAAATATTTTAAAAAACAATCAAAATAGCAATTCCAACCACAGTGTTCTTAGTTCATTAAACCTAAAACCGTGTGTTATAGTTAATTATATATTTCGATAAAAAATATTTTAAAAAACAATCAATACATTTCAAACCTAACTTTGAAATTTTAACTGCCAAAACCATTAACACGGAGAATAATAGTCAAACCTGAAGCACGTTTACAGTTAATATATTTTGATGCTAATATAATAAATTTCTTGCAGAAAAAATATTATTATTTTTATATTTTTTTTAAACACACAAGGTACGAATATCTCGTTTTCTTGAAAAAAGATTTAAATTTTCTACAAAATTGAAGTTGGGGGCCTCCGATTTCCTACTAACAGCTTAAATTCAACCATCTACAAATTAATATAATTTCAAGAGCTAAACTAGCTAAAATATTGATATTTGAAATTATACTTTATTGTTTTGCATTAACTTTAAATATTTACATTTACAGTGCTTTTATAAAGGTAATTAACTAGCTTGGGTGTCTGCAATTCGCAACGAAGTTGGACTATTTTCTTGTATAAAAATAATATTCATGTTCTAAAATACAGTAAAAAAAATAAAAAATCAGTTATGGTAAATATATAATTATACTAATTAGAGTTAAGCCAATTTAAGGTATTTTGTCAAACCTGGCCTCAAATCATTTAACTGAAATAGCTGGATGAAAAAATTAAAAAAAATATATAAAGTTTTTTTCTGTGAAAAAAATCATATTAATTATTTAAACTCATAATCTAAATTATTAAATTTAAAATATCAAATCTAGAAAAATCTTGAAATTTAATTTTTAATTAATTATATATTGAAAAATAAAATTAAAAAATAATTATACAAAGGAGCTACTGTTTATTTCTTATTATCGGCAATTTGGTCTGGTGTCTCTGCCTACCAAGAGAAGAAAGGACCTACTGTTTATTTTTTATTATCGACAAAAAAAAAAAAAAACAAGTTTTTTTATTATCGACAAAAAAAAAAAAAACAAACAATATTTTTACAATGCAAAACGCCCAATGCCTTAGCTGTTTACCAGCTCCACAATAGTAGAGCAAATGGATTCCAAGAAAATGGTCACGCGACCATTTATTTTAAAAAACAAGCTGTTTGTTTCTAGAAAAATAATGATTCACGGAGTAGTTTTTTTTTAAAATAAATTTTTAAAAAATAAATTATTTTTTGATATTTAATAATATTATAAAAAACAAATTAAAAAATATTTTTTATTGTTTGATTATATTATTAAAAATAAATTGAAAAATACATTATTAATGTTTTGTTTTTTTAAATTTATTAAAATAATAAAAAATAAGTCTTGCAAATTAAATTTTAAAAAGTTGAATGAGAATGAAATTGAAAAAAATCTAACTTTATAAATTATCTCAAATAAAATAAATAATAATTAAAATAATAGAGATCAAATCTAATAGATAAAAAAAATAAAAGATGATAAAATTAAAATAATTATAATTATAATTTTATAAATTATTTTAAATAAAATAAGTAACAATCAAAAGAATAAAAACCAATCAAAAGAATAAAGATCAAATTTGATAGATGAAAAGATTTAATTAAAAAATAATAAGAGAAATAAATAATAATCATAAAAATAAAGACCAGAGTCAATATAAAAATTAAATTAAATTAAATTTTAAAGGATAAAATTGAAAAGAAAAGGAGATTTAAACAAAATATATGGTAGTAAAAAATTTAAGGATTAAATTTGACATAATCAGCAAATAATATGATATTTCTAAATTTTTTACAACTTATAGAGAGTGTTTTCTATCAAAAATAAAAGAAAAATATTTTCTTAGAAATCAAGTTAAATTTTTCTCTGATAGGAAAATATTTTTTCATTAATTGAAAAGTATTTTTTGTTGATCAATTTTCTTAATAGTAAACAAACACATACAAACACATAAAAATTTAAAAAATAATTTTTTAGAAACTATTTTTTAAAAAATAAATCTATCATAAAGTAATTTTCTTTTCATAATCATAGCAGAAAATTTAAAAAATATTTTTTAAAAAACTACTTTTTAAAAAACAAATCTATCATAAAGTAATTTTTTTTTCATAATCATAGCAGGTTGAAGAAATTAAATCGAAAACTCACAATTAATGTAGGATGTATATGTAGTTTGCCAAGAAATGCAAAGTAAGGACCCATATAACTAAATTAATTGTAAAAGGTATAATTTAATTGTTTAGGTTTTAGATTTGTTTTTTAAATATTATTAATTTGAGTTTTATAAATTTTAAAATTATTAAAAATTTATATAATTATTAATTTTAAAACTTATAAAATTAATTAAAGTGGATTCAAACCGCTGGGAACACCAGAATTAAATAAATCAAATCCTGGAAAAATAACTTGTGATTTTGCCGTACGCTCACGGTGCATCTTAGATATGGTCAACCATCTAGATTTTTTTGGCTCAAGTTCATATTATTAAATAACGATAAAAATAGCAAGTTGTCACCCTTAATTTAATTGAAGAAGGAAAGAAAAACTCTCATAAAGTAAAATAAATTTGAAGTCCATCTCTCCTCTCCATCAACGCTAGCTGGTCTCTCTCATGGTCCGTTTCGTGAGTCAAGTAGATTGACCTTCGCGCCAGCAGAGATTTCGTGTTTGCCACTTCCATTTCTTCAACTCAATTACCATTGACAAACATAAGTTGGGTTATTTACCGCGGAATTGGGTATGAAAACATCGATATCAGTATGAAGGTTCTTCTGTTAAAACTCATTTGCAAAGTGGATAAAAAAGGAAGGAAAGAAAAGATTTAATCCAAGCACACATGGAGCAAATTGACCTTTAAAAGCCAAAAGGGGGTTTGAAGTTCGGCAAATCAGTCAGATCCTTAGATTTTCC